TCATGGCAAGATCTTACTGCTCGTAGAGTATGCCTTTCTGCAAACAAAGGTATGATGTAACAAGTGGTGCATAAGGGCAAAAATAGAATGAAACACTAAAGAAGTGGAACTAAAACACAAGTAAAATCCTGATTCTGGAACATTAATATGTTTAAACGCCACTGAAAGTGGGATTTATAAAGTGTATTTTTACAGCCGCACTAAATGGGCCTAGTGCATGTGCGTTCAATCTGTAGCATTCAAGATCACGTTAATCCCTTACAATACGTTTTATAATATTGGCATTTTACTGGACTGACAATCGAAAATTGCCTCCTTCAACTTATAGTAAAGAGCATATGAATGGGGAGCGGCATATACTCAGTTTATTGGATGAAGGTGAATGTAATCATCCATTATAGTTAAGTTTGTTTGTTATTGTAGTCATTACTTGTTAATGTTTACAGTTACTGCGGCGTTTGAACTTCAAACGGTTGATCTCATAAATAAGAAGCAATTACTGCAAATTGTTAAATCATGGTAAAAGTAGGATTCCTTAAGATGCAAAAAAGTCAGCGATTTGAGCGCCGAGTGTACGATGATTTTAAATAACTGCATACTTTCTTAGGTTAAAAAAATAGGGAAAGCACAGGCTAAGATCATGCAGTTAAATTGCCCTGCAACGGCAACCAGACTGGTTTCAAGCATACCATATCGCATACCACACGATTGCCTGAGACTAAAATATTTGTTCCAAAACCTTTCATCTCAGATGGGTCGACTGAAAACAAAGTTGCGTGCTTAAAAATTCCTTGCCAAAAAACTCAGACAATGGATTGATTATAACACAAAACGCACATAGAACACTTAAACAAATTTTGACACACTCATTGATTTGCTTTTGAATTACTGCTGAGCAGTCAGTTGAATTTATAAGCGTATATTATTTCAAACACTGGGTAAATTTATGCCTTCTTTTATTGCGTTCGAATCCGCAAGAGATAAACCATAGCTCCGTCTACTGATTTAATTAAAGTTTTCAGGCTTGTCGCCACCTTTTTAATATATTCTAATGTTTATGTTCTTAGGGGCGTTTTAAAAAGCGTCATAGTTCTAAGAAGCTAGGAAAATGAGTGAGGTAGAAACAGGGTAGTTTTAATAAGCAAAAACCATTAAAGACTAATTTGGTTAGCTGCAATGATACGTGAGATGGAACCCAAGTGAAACACCCGAACTACTGCAAACTAGTACGAAATATCGCTTGAAACGTATCAGCCTGTTTCCAGGCTTGATTAAACCATAAAGTCTTCACTGGAAATAAAATTAAACCCTCTGCAGTTTGTAATTTAACAAAGAATTTGTATTCTTTTTGACTCTGGTAAATTCAGGACTGCCCTTGTGTCAGAAATAGATCTGCGCGCCAATTTTCTCCTATAGCTTGTTCTGCTGGATTGTAAAAGCTGTTCATTCTAAGGTGCGTTATGCTCTGAGCATTAATGTTTATTCGAATCTTGGTAAGCAGAATAAAAATAAACACATATATAAAGAAACGATGTCACTGATTTTCTGACTAGACACTTGGCTGAATTTAAGGGCAGAGTTAGGATTTTAAGGTACGTTTTATTTTTGTAGAAAAGTGGGTGGTTATTCAAAACAACTTAATTATAATGGATTTCATTTTATTCATCCAGGGCAATTAGACATGTAAATGACAGCATAAAATGCGATTAGTAAAGCAACAACGTACTAAAAGGGAGGCTTAAAGTACTTAGACTAAAATCATGTAATTAATGCGAGAATATTAAGACCAATTTTCAATCCATTAAATTCCTTTAATTTAAGTTAATCAAACTGCGCAGTCATGTGTCCCTGATGGTTGCAAAGTTACTAATCAAACAAAATTTTTGCATATTTTATCAGCTAACTAGTTAAAAAATAAAGCTCTACTTTAAACTTATTTTCAAAAACGTCGCACACGAAATTTTCCCTCTAGAAATGAATATTGGGCTAATGCATAGAGCTCATGCATATGCGGTTTCATGATAGCAGGTTAAATGGACCATTCCTTATGATTTAGGTGAAAGGTTACCTTTTTACCAATCAAAGCTAAGCGAAAATGCATTTAATTGAGGGCTACCCTTATTCCATAAATGAGTTACAATTGAGATTGTTTTCATAAGCTGTGAACAATCAAAATAGAATGAATAAGTAAAAGGGGTTTTGGTGTTGAATTTCCAAGAAAGATGTGAGCAGACAAGCACCATGAAGTCGTGAAGATTGTGCTATTCTCCTCCTCTGCCACGACAAAACATCAAAGTGACAGGCCAACTGCACTATTCCAATTGCTATTATCCCCACCTACCTGCCAACATTGGGCACACCTCTTCCAATGGTTTTTATTCGTATACGTCGTTGTTAACGTGGTATACAATCCACTCAACATGAGCATTGACTTAATTGTTAAATGTCAGCGCACCTGTGGATATTATAATGTACACGTAATATGCTGAGTAATTAAAAATAGCGATAACGTACACGTAAAAACTTCATTCCCACTACCCCTGACGCTGGAAAAAATCGTCAAAGAGTAATTACCACAATGTGTTTTAGGGGTATTCCAATAAATAGGTGTAATTTACAAGCTTTAACCAACAAAATTAGCAAAATAAATCACCAATCACCCAACTTTAAAGCACGATGGCTTTAAGGCGCTTTGATACTCAATTTAGTTTTGGGCAGAAACGATGAGGCTTGCTAAATTCGTAATGTCCTCCATCACGCAAGATATTCGCCCACACCAGCCCTGGATTCTCTGTCTCAGCGTATGTCGAATTACCATCATAAAGAGACTTAAGATTCTGCATCGAACTTCAATTAGAAGCATTCACCTTTTTAAGTTTTATGAGAAATGCATAAAATATTGAAAAATGAGGTTCACATTATGAAATTTGGATTCCATGACTAGCAATAAATTTCTTTTAAAGAATTCACCCTGTGCCAATAAAATATTGTGCCTTTTAGACTTTTAGGCACTGCATACATTAAAATAAATTTTTCTAAAAAGTATCGCAAAACACTGCGCGTTTTTAAATTACTTAACTGACAAATTTAACTTTTCAACAGTCATCAAGGGTGTGTTACGACTTGCATGAAAGCTGGTAGTGCCTAGTCGCGGCCTTTTGTTTCATGACTTTTGAGATCACAAAAAGATACTTTTTATAAAGCCAATCCATGAAACAACCTCACTATTGTTTTAAAATCCCATATAGTTCATGATAAAAGGCCAATTTGTGAAATTCAGGACCAAAACGCGGCAAAAATAATTTTAACTGGACACATTTCTTACTTGAAACAGCTGCTTATATTATACTAATTTAGTAAATGAAAACATTTTAGATAATCCAAGCTCACAGTGTTATAAAATGAATAAGGCTTCAGACAATTCAACAATTTTACCAATCATAATTCTGGAAAAGTCTGTGCTAAAGTTTGTATGCCAAACTGGAAAGAGGCAAACACGGTGTCGGTCGTATGGGGTACTGATGTGGAGCTCCTAACACATCAAAGACTGGCATTCTGTCCAGTTAAATTTAAATAAACGGCAAATAAAATGATCGTTTGGGTTACACCACATTAGCTGAAGCACTTTCTTATAGCTTGGTATTGCCTTCTCCCACCACAAGAGCCTACTTCTCTGTGATAGTTTGAGATTTCGTCTTTGTCATTCCATGCTACATTGACTTATTGAGGCTTTAGTGAAGACTCGAGAGGCGCTATCCTAATTAATACAATCTTGATCTTTTTATAATGAGGACTATGAAATAAGGCGACTTTCAAACCGGATATATTATGTGGTGACATTTGCATATTGCACTAACATGTAACTTAAATGGCGGAACTTCGAGAGTTGATAAACTGAAAAATATTGGAATAATCACAGCTACTTACAGAGTATGATCAAAAACAAACAATTGTCATTTTTATAATTAGACCCGCTAAAATGCACGCAACGTCATATCATGATGGTCTGCAATGACAATTAAGAGTTCAACTTTCTGTTTGAACGGATGACCGTAAGCAATGTGGGATAAGGGTTGAATTAAGCCCAGTTAGGGTTCAGCTAAATTTATTAGCTACAAATACAATTTATTTGTAAAAACGACATTTTAAAAAGGAATTAAAGTTAGGTCAATAGGTAACCACAGGTTAGAATGGTATTTATATAAACGCAAATTGCATTTAAATTGGACCACGAGGCTACAATTACATGTTTGTACAAACCCCTAACTCAAATAAAAACATTCAAACACCTCCCACTAAAGGGGAAATAGCTTTGCGATTCACATCAGACAGTCTGACTAATACTGGATGTCTTTCTTAACCATGACACTGGTTACATCCTGTTCCCCTACAATCTTAACAGAGCTACCACCAAATGATTGAAGCCATTTGAACATACCCATCAGCAGAGACTTCATGTGCATAGTGGTCGTATACCAATACTTTTGGAAAGGTCCTTGCTTTATGCCGTGTAAACGTTACCCATTTTGCATTATTTAAAAATCGCATTGTCTTGACTGGTGAAAATCAACCGAGAAGCGAAACTGAAAAACGAAAAGTACAAAGCACAAGATTTGATTTTGCTCATGATTGTATCCTACTATATTCAATGGAAAGATAAGTTTCGTTATCGGGTAGTTTTTAAAGTGCCAACACTACCGAATCCCTCTCATATTCGTGTGAAAATATACCTGTCGCCACAGCCTTAATTGCACACACGTCCTACCGCGTTTTTACTGGTCTGTTACGAAATGTCAAGGCCCAATCAGAAGAAGGTGGACAGAAACGTTTCCAGTTATTATTCCATTGGGTTTACCGAGCAAAATCCTGCCAATAGGAGCTTAAAAAACTGTCGGAGTAAACTAAGAACCATATAAAAAGATGATATCAATAAAAACGATTAACTGCACCCGCAATTAACTCGACAAAAGCATGTTTGGCCTGATTTAGGAGATTTTGGGATGCGAAGTCACACATTTGTACAGTTTATTTTGGCAATTATTCCCTTGCTTGCTAAAACTTCGAAAACTCCTCGAGATTTCCTTACAGTTGACATCCTCGAAGAACAACCCGTTGGCTCTCACGTGACCGACATCGCTCAGGAACTTGGCCTTCCCGTTGACAAGAGTTCAACATCCGGTGCTGCAGACACTGCTTCATATTTTAAAATAGTGGTTGCCAACTCTGCAATCAACGGATACTTTGCAATTTCTCCTACAAATGGCAAGATTTCTCTCAAAAAACACCTTGATAGGGACATGTTGTGTCATAATGAACGTCTCTGCTGCGAATCAGAGGACGATAGGCAATCCAGTCCAGTTCAAATGCCCGACGGAACCTATTTTCGGCGAACTGCCAAAGCATGCAAAATGTCTTTTCGTGTTGTCTATCATCTTAGTGCAAATGGAAGCACTAAGCATGAGAGCAGAATGGCCTTTTGTACTGTTGATGTCAATATTCATGACCTTAACGACTGTGCACCAAGATTTTTGCTAAAAGACAGCTATCCCACTTATGGAGGTCATTACCGCCCTGAACCAAATGCAATATTAATAACGATTCCAGAAAATACTGAAATAGGCACGTGTTTTGACCTTCCAATGGCATTTGACGAGGATTCAGTGCGATTTAGCATCCAAGATTACCAATTGGAAGTTTCAGGAAAAGTAGACCAAGCGCTGGACGGAAGCATCCATGGCACATTTGCAATCAGACTAGGAAGTTGTGATGGAGGACCCAATGCAATATATGGAGTAGCGAGTGGAGTGGAAATTGCTAATTTAAAGCCAAAACTACAACTTCGTCAAAAATTAGATAGGGAAGCCATTGAAGAATACAACTTAAATCTGGTAGTGAGCGACGGGATGAATTCTGGTAGTCCAAAGCCATTATATACCAAGCAAACAAACCTTTTGCCTCATTCAGCCAGTCTCTCAATCACCGTCATCGTGGGCGACGTCAATGATCATGCGCCTGAGGTCGAGGCCTCGGTGGAGATAAGATTAAAGGAGGACACACCGGTGGGCACTAGGGTTACTCAGATTTTCGCCCATGACAAGGATGCTGGAGACAATGCAAAGATACGTTATGAAATCCGATCACTAGTGTCTTCGCAGTTATCTAGGTTCCCCTTTACAATCGACTCTACTACGGGAGTTGTATCAATCGTTAATCCACTCGACGCCGACAGTTTGCCACAGGAGGCACATGGGTTGATGAAGTTTTTAGTGATCTCCTCGGATAATGGACAAGATATTACATTTTCCAGTACCACAACAGTAAGTGTTCAGATTGAGGACATAAACGATGAAGCACCCATTATTAAAACAATCGATTTAGCAAGCCGAAGCAATCCGCCAAGACCTACAGTTCGTGAAAACCTCCCAGCGGGTACACTTGTGGCTTTTGTTACTGTAACAGATGCTGACTCTGGGGTAAATGGAATGTTTACATGCCGAGTGGATAATCCCAACTTCGGTCTAGAACCAATAGGTGATAAAAATGCAAAGGAAAAAGAGCTTCAACTAATCACAAAGATGGCACTCGATCGTGAGCTTGCACCGATGCAGCCAGTAACTATAATTTGTGTTGATCATGCTCACCCTGTAGCATTCGCTAAAACTGGATTTCAACTGATTCTCGTAAGCATTACGGATGATAACGACAACGACCCGATTTTTCCGAATGACGTCATCGAGCTTTCGGTGTACGAAAACAGTCCTCCAGGAGAACTTTTGTACCGTCTTAACGCAACAGATGCTGATGAAATGGTTTCGTGGATCTCAAGTTTGAGAACACCGTTAATTTACGAAATAGACCCAACGGGAAAAGCATTTTTTAGCCTAGACCCATCATCAGGAAACCTCTATACAAAAGAATCCTTTGATAGAGAAAAACAGGAAATTATAGAATTCGGAGTCGTGGCGTTCGACCATGGAACACCCCAGCGCAGTGCTAGCGCAAAAGTTGTAGTTCGAATCTTGGACAGAAATGATCACGCCCCTGAATTCGATCAAAAAGTGTACAACGTAAGCGTGCTTGAATCAACTTCTCTCGGCGAAGTTGTTTTGAAGGTTTCTGCTCACGACGAGGACCAGGGACCAAGTTCGGAATTTTCCTTTCACCTAGAGGACCTTAGGGTACGTCCTTATGCTTTTATATTTTATTCATTTTTAAAGTTTGCCATTAGTTATCCGTAATACTTGAAAAAGGTAACCTTTTTTTATTAATTTTATCGTGAATCCTATCTCTTATCATGACACTAAATTTATTTATTATCAACAATAATTAAATAGGACTGGAAAACGTTGTCATGCTTTTATGACACAATTACTACTGCAAAATACTAGGATCAACACTCTGCTGCTTTGTGACGATGATTTACAAGATTAGTGAAAATTATGCACAGATACTCTAAACTATTCCCTATAACTGAAATAATAAAATTGAAGTTTTAGAGGTATATCAGATCTCTTGCAGAAAAAATGTTTAATGCTTGGAAGAGAATAAGCACAAAATTGGTTGCACCGACACACACGGCAAATTTTAAGGGATTATTCACGTAGACCTAGTTTGCATAAAGTGTATCACTCACAACCATCAATAGTTGTCGATATGACAGCTGGTTGCATTTTTTATGCGGTCAAGCGAAGCAGCACATCACTGAAAAGTGATGCGCTGCCACATTCCACAATGCGCTAACCACCGCCAGATCTAGCTTACTTTTTTAGGTGGAACTAATTCCTGTAACAAATTGTTCGTATTAAAACAATTCTTTCGACGTCATGCATTCCTAATGCCTTCTCCTTATCCTACTTAGATCCACCGCATCTTGTGGCGAAAATGGAAGCATAAATTGCGTTTTGTGTTAATAATTATCACACTACAACCACCACTCTGAGTCTACTGTAACTATCATAGCACCCTATGACAATTTATGGAAGACTACCAAGAGCTAACCTTATCCCAGTGGATGCGCGATCAGTCTGAGCACAAAAAACCATACTCCATGCAAAAATTTAAGTAAATACATGCAAAATCGAAATCCCTAAATACCATTAATATTCTAAATGTGGAAATGAGTATCTTGGTTACAAGACCTTAAAATCAAGCCTAAATTAACACCGTTAGTTGGTCGTAAGAGGGCCAGTAATTTATTAAAAGCTACTGTATGCATTTTTAAGGTCACTGCTGCTAGAAGAGAATCACTCACCAGCTGCTTTATACTGCGAATATAAATCTTAATTTTCCCATTTCAATGTCCATTAACGGTAATTGTTGTGGCAAAATTCAGCCCAGTCACGCTGATTTTAACACGACACAGGCTAGTTAATCTGAACTAAAGTTTTTCACCAAGGACTCGAGATCATTAATGAGATAGCAATCTCCCAAATCCACCTAATCTCGCCAAAAGACAGACGAATTTTAAACGGCCTTATTTGCATAAAATCCAAACACACCCAAAACACACCCTTTATCCCCACCAATTGAGCCTTCTTCTTCTCATTTTAAATCCCCCCTAATGTGGTTTGTTATTAAAGAGCCCTTTTATTTTATGGCCTATCTCATTGTCACTTTTGAGCAAGGCGTGTGCGCGTGTGTTAGTGAGTGTAAGCGTGGGCTCTTAAAATAACCTGCCACCATCGTGGAAAATGCAATTCCTCTTGTCAGTTAGTCCCCCACCCAAATGCGGTTGAGCATACCAACTTGGTGCTTACCGTCACTATAAAAATGCCTTCTCTCACCACCCCTCTTTCCCTATTTCCCATGCTACATGCCTCCACCTCCTCTTCCGAGTTTATTTATGACGGAGCAATGTATTCATTTAATGGTAGGCATGCTTAATTAGGACTCCTCTGCTCGTGCTTCTAATCAACGACAGTCCTCTTCTTTGATCAAAAAGAGCAAAGACAAGGGGAGGGGGAGGAGAAAAGAAATTATTTGGGGCAGAATTGCGAGCATCTAAATGAAATCCCTCAAGGTGGCGTCAATAAAATCTCAAAAAATGTTGTTAGAATATAATTTTCTCCTGGGCTTAAGAGGGAAACTTTCTGAGGAGACAAAATTGGTAAAGTTAAGTTAGTAAATAGTTACTGTTGGTTTGCTTTTCAAATAATTCTGCGCAGTGTTTTTTGCTACCGTCTATTGGTGAATATTCAATTTTTAATGAAACTGGGAGTCAATCACAAGCAATTTTAGAAAAAAATAACGCTCAGAATGTGTGCTCACACATTCAAACTTAATTTCTTGTTAATCTCCAGTTGAAATTGCCTTTTAAAAGGAGAGATAATAAATATATTGGGTAGTTTTGATCTACCCAAGGAGGAAAATTGTCGTGGAGTAAAACATTCACCCTAGTAGTTAGGAGCACTGCATTACCTAAGTTTGACATCTGAAGTTTGTTTAGTGAAAGTTACTTTAAAAAACTGCCTTTGCGACCTATTATATATCCTTATTAGAGCCTTTACAGTGAACGTTGAAGTAAAATAATTACTTCCGGAAGAAGGACCAATCAACAGATTGTGGAAACCAAGGGACTGCATATTGATATTAAGCATTCTGGATTCTGGACAGCTTCTAAGGTCAGTGTCGGTGGTTTGCTACAAAGGTACAAATACAGATTATAACTTCCAACAAGCGCAGGAATGCTGAACATTAGTTCGCCTTTCGAACATTATGTGAGAAGTGAGGCAACAGACGAATCCGATGGTAATGGCGAAAGTGTATTAATTTGTTTCGATACGAAGCTCTTACCATCAACACATTTACAATGTTCTGGTAAAGGACAAGTTTAAAGTTGTTAGAAATTAGCAAATAATACATATGGAAGGCAAATTGGTGGCGGATTTGCTACAATGTGTTACCGTTTTCCTGTTTGTTGTGTAAACTACCAAAATTACATCACTATCTTGGGAATTGACAAAAGGCTTGGAAATGGCGAACAACATGTGCCTCAGAGGTTGAATGACTCAAGACCAAAAAAGGTTTTTTGATGATCATGGTCTCTGAGCAGTTTATGAGTTCAGTTCTTTATATGGAGGCCTACATAAATCAAATTTGTAAGATACCTAAAATGCTTAAGACCCTACATCCAAAAGTTGTGGCATTTTGGACATAAACTCAATAAACTTTTTCGTTATTTTATTTGTATTGACACCAAAATTATAGTGAATGCTCAAAGCTACTTTACATTACTAAGAGATGCACGTGTTAATCTGTCTGGAATTAGTGAAAGTTCTAGAAGTAATCAGGATATATACCAATTAAGTGTAAAGCCTATTATCCATTGTGTGACGCAAATAAAAACATTTTGGTGCAAATAGTGGGGCATTAAGGGTGCAGGGACTGAAAGTGTTCAAACAACGGAAGAAGGGTGACATGAAAATTTACTGTTCTGAGCCATGAGAATGAAAAGTAAACCTTCCTAAACTTTTGGATAACAAGAACTGTGTTGCTAACTCGTTAACAGCACTATTTCAGTCTTATTTCAATTGTAGCATTCACAAAGCATTCCCATTAAGGAGCCTGTAGGAAGGATAAAGTTTGTAACCTGGGCTTTAATGCGAGAGAATAGTAGCAATTGGGAGTAATAAATCATTTGATAAAATGAAAAATTAAGTGGGTCTACGTTGAAAGGCGTACAAAAGCTCGTCTATCCCTCGCATGACAAAATTTGAAGTCATATATTCAACATGACAGATTTAAATACCTTAAATTGCTCAGGCATACCAACATTTTAAATGGACAGGTATTTTTATCATACTGAAAGACTTTTATACACATTAGCAGTGTGCTAGTGGAAACAAAAGTTTCCATGTGTGGATCTTTAAGGTAGGCAGTTCTGTGAATGTACGAGAATGGCTGTTGGCATACTTAGCAGATCACTTTTTAATGTATTCTGCAATTCGATAATTGCATAAAATTTGTATCACAACTAAAGCTTCAAATTTCCTTGCATGCTGCATAAAGAAGTACTTTCGATGAAGTATTTTAAAAATTGCTGCGAGTTTAATGACAACTGTCAAAGCTCTTCTAAGGGTACTTTAAAAGTCTACAAGTTACTTGAGAAGATATGTGCACAGTGCATGCTTAGTTGTAGAATTACCGCAACCACTGAGATTTTTGCATGCATTCCTAGCAAACAAAAGATTGATGTCGTGTTTTCAAACTAGACTGGGAGGGCAGGAATATGAAATGCCTGTTTTTATTACTTTTGAGTTGATGCTTTAAATTGGTGCCACTCTTGTATTCAGTTGCACACTATCCATTGCATTCAAGGGAATCGATTTGTGGATCATTTGCTTCCTTGCACCACCGTCTGTTTCTGTGATTGCAGATACTGAGGCATTCTATTCAGAGGTAGCATTTGCTTTCAAACCACAAACAAGGCATTTGCCATTATAACAACAACTTAGCAAGAAACTATAATAAAAACGCCTGGTAGATTGTAGTTTCACAGTTCGGTACATGCTACAGTTTTCTGGAGCATATTCAAAATTGCGAAACACATACAGTTCAAAAATGATATACATTTGAAGCCAAATTACTCCATCTCTGGTTGAATTGCTTGCAATTTTAGCGTCGAGAACAAAGCAATCAATCCATTGAAATAAATTATCTTTCCAAATAGGCATAGAAAGAAAGGAATTAATGTAAAATATTAATACATGTAATGCTTTTCTCGAAACTATAAGAACGTAGTGAGATTTAGGACCAGAGCAGGTATTTACATCTAGTCCACACATTTAAATTCAATCAAGTATGAATAAAACGCATTGCTGAAATGCAATTCTATTTTGGTTAAGCGATTTAGTAAAAAAATTGTGCAGTAAGTGTTTTTCCTTCAAAAAATTTCACATTTATGGTAGCCTAATAAATCACTGTAATAAAACAGCATAAGTGGAAAAATGAAACTCGAAGTTTAATTTTAATAGCCAAACTCGATTCGTTACTTTTAAAGAACTATCTCTTATTTACACTGTAATTGGAAGGAAGATTTTTGGTCTGTACAACCGGTTGGATGACAAACTTGCGTCAGTTAATTAACACCCAGAATTATGTGCTCTCGTGTCTACCCTCAAACAGTTTTCTCTTTCATCCCGTCCTGCCCTTACCGACATTAGTACACAAGAGGGATGTCAAAATCCAAGTAGGTAGCAAAACCTCATGGTTTGTGTTCAAAACATGCTTACTTCAAAAAAAATTAGCGGCTCATTCGATTGTTATGCTGTTACGCAACACAGATTCAGCCATGTTGGCCATTTCAATCACTAAGAACATTATGCACTGTTATGATAAATTATGCGCTATTTAATAATAGCCTACAATAACTCAACCCTACAATCCGTTGTTTCAAACGTTCAGTCTTTAATTTCGTGACAAAGCAGGAGTTTTAAAATGTCCCTCCCAAACTCAGACTACACGTACTGCATTACAATACATAATCATAATCGCAGCCTAACCGTCCCACTGGTTTAGCGTGGGTATCGGAAACTTTGACGACATCTGGTAGATGAGCAACGAATTTGCTTATGTTTTAATAAATCAAAATTGGTTGGATTTTTTCCTTAACTAACCACTGCTTCAGTCATCGCCGACACTTCTTGACCTTTAAGATGCCAGTAAAAAATATTTAAACAAATCGCTTGAATGCCTTGTGACATTCATTTTGTCTTTAGCCAGCATAGATGCCGTTGCTTCTTATACCACCTTCTTTCCCAATCACTGGGGTTAACGTGTTTTTGAAACATGATGACTTGAGCAAACAGCAGCAACAGCCTTCACAACCCTAAATGTATGGATAAGCGAAAGCACATAGTGTCTTCGTTTCTATTGACATGCAATGGGTGCGAAAGTGCACCTGTTCTCCTTCCACCCATTCACTCTAATGTGCTCTTCTGCCTTGAAAAGGAGCCGTGGTTTCTTCTTCGACTAAAAACGCCGTATATGTTACCTCAAAAGTGTAATATACTAAAAGAGCATAAGATGCACTTTACTGGACTTCTCAAACTTTTGATGCCATGGAGGGGACTAAATTACATCTGTCCAGTTTTCAATCGACTGTAATAGTGATTTTGTAGCGTAGGCCTGCTTTTATCCTTGTATTGTTGAAGAAGATTAGGGAGGATGCAGATTAAAGTTAGCAAAACGTAGATGATACTGATAATTAATTTCAGTCCTTGAATAGACAGCGCCAATTAAAAAATGATCTAAAAATCTATAATTAAACAAAGACAGAGCATTAAACTTGAGCAATGAATTCGAAAAGCCACCATTATTCCTTAATTAACTAGTAGTGCTAATCTTGTAACATTTTCATGCTAATCTCAGTATAGTGCTGTTGGTTTTTTACTTAAAGTAGTGAAAGAGTTATTCTCGTGTTTTAACACTGTAAAATTAGCAAATCAAAACATCTAGGGGAGGTGGCAAGTTCATGGTAAATTTATGTAAGTATATCCGTCACTAGAGAGTTATAATTTACTAACACGTAGTCTTTAATACCATGTCAGTTAGGTCATCCACTTTTGCATAAATCTGACACAAAATATTCAACCTAATATTTTGAGGAGACCGCTATTCTGCTACTTAAATTGATATTCCAAGAATGCCTCAATTCATTATCAAGCAATTTGCGAAAAAGCAAAACTTGCAAGTTTTGGTTGCCCACTAATGCTTAAAGAAAACCGAGAAGAAGAAACCTTACAAGACAAGAAATGTTATGCTATTTTGGTATTGTAGCCCCTACACTATTCGTATTATCAAACGCGATTGATGGAATGCCGAATCAGATAAAAAGAAAGATGAATGTGGAAAATATTTTGCATTTGTTTTTCAAAGATAAACCTATAAAGCAAAATAAAGTGCCTATGCTTTCAAAATCACATCAACCGCTAACCGATATGTAGGTAATCGCATTGTCAAATACAAAACTCATCAAATAATTAAGAAGGACTTAATTAATTCATCCGTGACACATATTTCGTCAAGAAAAGGAAACACTTGATGATATTTTAGGCAAATCTATAATTATTTGGCCGTGAGAAGAATATAGCTAGATTACTAATTTACCGAATCGAAGTTATTACAATGATAGAGCGGCACAATTACTTCGGTAGATTGCCTTCTACCGCATAGTGAACTGTGCTGCTGACTTGAAGTCTGTTACAGACTTGAGCCTTCAAATGGGCTTTAAGATGTAAGTAGTAAATTATAGACCCAGGTACTAATTTTGGCAGTCTGAACCTAAAAATTTAAACATAATTACTAAATTGCTTGTACGGCAGCATTTGTTTCCTGGTGCTTCAGATACGGAGCATGCGACAAAAAGGCGGTTTTCAGTTAATACAACATTAAAGAAAAAACATAAAATGGAAATAAACCAATTTACTGCCTGACTTAAGTTTTGACTACCCGTAAATTATTTACTTTACAGAGTATTTTTTAAGTCTTCTTACAGAACACATGATTTAGAAAGACGTCTTTTATCATCACAACACGTGCGTTAAGAAATTTTCTGTCATCCGTTTGCATAACCAGAAGACCAATGCGTCTGAATCCGATTTAAGCCCACCGTAATCTCTATTTTCACCTTCCTTTGTTATAGGGATTTACTGTACTGGACATGTTGATTCTTTGTTCCCGGCCTTAAGAAAGATTGTATTATTTCTGCTTTATTGAGTACTTCAGATACATTTGGAAAACATATTTTGTTAATCCTTTGAAATATAACGCAAATGTGCAAAAAACACCATTTTTCATATCATGAAAAACGGACGTGTCGGTTTCAAATCTCAATCAGAACAGAAGAAAAACGGAAATGACCTTAATTTTTCGAAATAGAGATCCCAGATGTGGTCAATTTAATTGAAGTTTTTTGGTTTCAAAATAAATCTGCTTTTGATCATAAGGTTCATTTTAAAGGAAGTCGCAACGTACCAACTTTTTTCTCTATTAAGGTTTCAAATACTGGTACAGAAACTCTTGCCTTTTAACAGATGCTATTATATTAAAACTGGAAATTAGCATAAGGTCCGTAAATGACTGTTCAGTAAATGATGGGGGAAAACACTCATCATTTAGTAGTCTCCTAATTAAGATGAAATCATATTTTACACTAATATTGAAACTTTGCTGAAATTTGTTGGGCTTAATTCAAGTTGTATGAATAAGCTTTGAATTAAATATTTAAGGATATCGTACCTGACTCATAAAACAAGCTGTTACATGGATGCATTAAGAATAAGGGACAACTTGGTCAGTAGACGATAGATAGTGTGGCTTAATTAATCAATGTCAACTTGGTTTCAACAGTTTCCTGACATTCTGTTACTCCTCGACCATTTGCACTACACAGAAGATGAAAAAGGGACGTTGGATTCCACTTGAACGCCTTTTATATATGAGTTGGTTAAACTATGTACAGGCATGAAAAAAAGTGCAGTTTTTTTCTGTTTGTGAAAATTTACTGGCCTTATGTGTACTCGTTTGCAAAACAAATAAGCTAAATTCACTTGACAGGCACCAGAATTTTACTATAAACAATTCACCACTGAGACATAAATTCCTTTTTCCAAGAATTGCTATTTTGAGACCACCAATTCTTAGTCTAAGGAGATTTTAAACAATAGTTAAATCTTTATTCAAGTTTTTACTAAGCCTTACGCAACCTTGTGGGTTTCGAATTCAAAATTCCGCGTTTTACTATTGATGACAAATGGGCTCCGACTGGGGCATTTGCCGTAAACCCAAATACTTAAAAAGGTTACTCCCCTTTTTACCCATTAATTCGTAAAACAGACTATTTTATCCTTTAAATATCCAGCTATTAGACTGCCGCAAAGTCATGGTTTGAACAATGGTTTTGGGAATGTATTTATAAGTCTCGATTTGAAAAAGTATTTACAGTCGAAATGTAGAGTACCATTTACTAGTGTAACGATTCACATAACTAAGGCGTTATTTTCTATATGTAAAATACTTTTGGAATATGGTTAATATGCACTACTTGTAAACCTTGGTCTTAACTCCTTAGGGCTCTGCGCAGAAGCATTTCGAGCTAGATCCACTGTCAGGAAACTTGACGATAAAATCGAAATTGGACAGGGAAACGGAATCACATTACAGTTTCCAGGTAAGGCATGCTTGTAAATCCTAGCTTAAAAAACTTTAAATTATCGTACAAAGCTTTTGTTGACTTAAAATGCAAATGATTTAAGCAGTTGAAAAGCCAAGTTGTGGGCATGCGCATGATCCAAAATAGGAGGAAATACTGAAGAACCAAAATTGAATGCATGCATGTTTGAAGCGTTTAGGGGATAATAAATTATTCATTGAGTTGGTTGTGATGGTTCCTTTGACCTAAATATACAATATCCCGCTCAAAGAACTATTATAAAGAAATTCAAAATCTGTGTGCGAACGCATTAGCAAGAAAATATCGGATTTATGGAAATGCGCTTTTGTCATTAATGAAGGCACTATCATCTAAACTGGTTTCAGTTTAAATTCTTTAGTAAAAATAAAAAATGTATTATTACGGCCGAACGCTTTTTAAGGGACAATCATGCGGCACATAGTGGCATTGTAATTGTATTAAAAAAGCCGAAATGATTATCCTAGAATTTTGAAAAACCTAGGACCTGTTAAGGCTACCCTTGCCAGCTCTCTTTCACTATGCGTTGGTTTAAACGTCAAACCTCTTAAAGAGAATGCTACAAAACTCTCCTTTATCTGACGCCTGTGTTCTTGAATTGGGTATCGGTGTTTATGAACTTATAGAAATACAACAGACCAAGCTTATACACATACTAACCGCTGTAATTTTAGTGTATTATGAGACTCGGCTAACATTTTACATTCAGATTTACAATTTCCTAGAAGTCATATATGTATATACGATAGTCGGGTATATCAAACTAATTTCCGTTTAAAACTCGATGATTCTGTAGCTCTATGATAAAAACCAAATTCGAAAAATCTTTCGGCTATGTTCCTTGAAATCAGCTTCAGGTATGGTATAATGGGTAGCGAAAATATTCCTCCTACGACTACTAAAATAGTACTGGCACAGAACATCTAGGCCCTCATCAGCAAAATACACCGATGCTTTTGTCAGATGGTTAGCAAATGCGATCTATGTAAATTTTATTTGCAGCTAAACATCCTCATCTTTAACTAGTAATTTTTGGTAATCTCATAGGTTGGGCCTCAAATATTTCAATGGAGCAAAGAAAGTAGCAAACCGGTCAAATCAGGGGAATATCAACCCAAATACTGATCTGGCATCTAAAAGGAGTAACAAAGCAGAATTGATGCAAGACACAGCACAGAAAACCAAAATCACTTTGGAATGTGCAATGGGCCGCAGTTATCAGAGTTCTAAAATTTATAACAGCCTTCTCCAGTGCGCGCCCTTGTTCTCCTTGGCTGATTAAAATGGTAGGATCTAAAAATCCACTGTGACAACAGTTTAGCTGCTGTGAGGCTAAAACGAACCGACAATAGCTATTTTGGGGGTTTATAATATTATCTTTAACTTCCTTATTCAATCAAAACAATTATAAACAATAAAGTTAATATTTAAACCCATTAGATCGTCCGTTTCGCATCGTTTTACCTTTAAGTGGAAAGAGACCATCAAATTTACCTTAAATTGTTAATTTATTTAATAGCTGTTAAAAACCACACTTCATTTATAGATATACTCAGTTGACAGGGGGGTCCCACGACAAACGGCCTATTGCAGGGTCAACATTCAAGTTCTGGATGTTAATGACAACCCGCCGAAGTTTGTGTATCCAACACAGATGAACCACACCATACACTTCTCCTCCTGGAACTCTCCAGTTAGTTTGTGGTCATTTCCGGTTTCAAAAAACATAACACCTTTTTATGCACGCATGCTAATTTGCTCAGGCACAACATTTTAACGAGAAAATGAGCTCTTAGCTTGTCAAATAACTACTGAAATTTCGCTATCGGGTGAACAAGTCCGAATTAACTCGTAAATTTTTAATTGGACTTCGAAGGCTGGTTAAAAGCTCAGAGGGGAAGAGTTTCAACGAATTTGTTTTAACTGAAGTGCTAAATTTAGCATTCTCAAGGATTTCATTCTATAGGTAAATAGATTAAAATCGGAGAGAATCTTATAAACGCGCTTCATGCTTTGCATTTTATTAAGTGCTTTGCAACTAGAATGCATGGAGTAAGGAATGCATGACATTCAAAATATTTATAGAGCGTACAGCCTTATTAAAACTGCAGTTAAAACATTTTGACATCATCTGCACCTAAAGTAGCCACACGTACTCTATAAATTTTTTGATTTAATTTTATGAGAGACACTAAAAGCAAATTTGAGTGAAAATGCAAAATCAAGGCAAATTTATTTTATGAGACATGTAAAGCAATCCATTTTGACAATTACTAAACTCCCTACTCAGCATCTGTTTTGTGTTTATTAAAGGACATAATACGATACAGATGCCAAGCCCATTTTAAACCGGTATACGTGGAAATTAGTCATAAATGAAATAATTTAACAGGTTTTGGTAGTGTTTTTAGTTGATTATTTTATTATTCGTTATATGAGTAGGATTTTGAATGCTATTTACAGAACTTCTAAAGTACAATTATTACTTTTCTTAGGAAAGTCCGCTTTTGAAATTAACCGCCACGGACAAAGACACTGGCGTGAACGCAGAGAAGATTTTCCTTATTGCTGAAGGCAACGAAAGGGGAATTTTTCAGTTAGATCTGCAGACAGGGGATTTGAGCCTTAAACCCGACCTTGATCCAATCAAAGTAGCAGGTCACTACAATCTCAAGTTGGAGGTTAGTTTGATTGACCTACACTGATACTACTAATACCACTGCAAGAGTTTATCAATGCAAACACCTCGATAGTTTGCTTACACTTTTGCTGGCAACTATCCATATAACAACACCTTAAGGTGAATTTCACCGTTAGATCCTAGTAATTGGGGTAGACGGGTTTTCAGCAATTACCATTAAACTCCAGAAATTCGAAGTGAGTCGCAATTTAAGGGACTTTTAAATAGGATCGCCATGAACCGAGGTCAAGTATAAGGTTTGTTATTTAAGCCTGCAAGATATGTGCCAAGATATGTGATTTCTTCTAATGACTCTAGCCATTGAGCCTAATCAGCGGAGGAAATGATTATTCACCTCTCTTTAACCTGCTGCTCTTAATGAGTGACAACATCATTCAGTTTTAATACTTTCCCCATCCCTTTTCTCATAAAATGAAATTGTCGAAATATTAACTTTATATGAGTATTGCTGAGACTAAACCCAAAAAATATCCTGGTCCGAATAGCACAATGGGGTCAATATAACCCATTATTTAGACAGCAGAAATCAAACAATAAAGACAATGTGTCAGACAGAGTTACTGTCGGAAGCGGCAACAAATACCATCAGCTTCTATTCATCTGGTAATGAGGGCACTTGAGATGGGAATAACTATTCAATTCCTTCATCTTGCAGTAAAATTGGGAAAAGTTACTAAGTAATTTGAAGGGGATTTAACCTTTTGAATAGTTTGTGCACCACACCGTATCAGTAAAAAAATACACTTGTGTCCATGAGTCTAAAAAGTTTTCTTTAATACCCCTTATTTAACAACATTAGCACTGCACATGTGTGTCTATCAAGTGTACCTTGATGACAAGGCAATGGGTATAAAAATGCATTGGTGAATGCAGGCACCACGTAAGAGCAAAGCAATGATTTTACAAAACAATTTATACATTTTTGTTATAAATGTACACACTATGAGATAAACTGTCATTATTTGTTACTACTTCCTTTCAGGCAAATTTCGCCCATACTTACCACAGGTCTGTTTATCCTTTTGTAACTCCAGGAGGCAAAAATAGTGTTTCCTATTCTCCTCTTTTTCTTCTTTGCTAATTTTGCTAGTATGTCAAAAAGGTAAGCAGTAGGGGTTTTGTGTGTGTTTAACGAAAGCGTAGCTTGTGCCAACAGGACTGTTGTTTGGATTGTTAAGGATGTTTGCCGCTGCCTTTTCCTTTATAAATTTTTATAGACTCGGCGAATCAAGCGCCACACACATCACACAAAAGAACGTTCCCGTGAAACCCATATATCTTTATTAGTTTTAGTGAAGCTATTCAAGTTGTTTTTGAAATGACTGTGCAGGCTACAGCAAATGAAACAATGGAAGGCACAACACACACGCATAAACTGTCAAGTTTGAGCATATACGTATTTTTTGTGAATATCAACCGATTATTCAACAGGACATCGTCTCATCCAATATGAAATCAACGTCTGCACCTCTTAAGGTTTTTCTGTGGGCGGTTTTTGCATAGATTTGCTAAAATTGCTTGAGACTTTGGAACGGGGTACTCTTAACATTTATGAAGTCACAACAACCTCTACTCGGAATGTATATTCTTAAGTTTACCAGAGTTAAAAATGTTGTCCTTGCTTCTGCTTAAGGTCTGCAAAGTGATGTGTTTGCTAAGTATTTAGGTATGTAACTCGAGAAGCGAGACATCATGCAAAGACGTTTTAAACATCCTGAAAACATTTATGAGTGCGAATAGCCTATTGGCAGATATTTCAATTGTTAAGGTGCGTGATGACGGAACGCCTTCATTATCTGGCTTCACCTACATCACTGTGATCCTTGATGCTGCTCGACCACCTCTCAGCGTTCCAACTCTCCCACCCGGTCAGATCAAAGTTGAGCAAACTTCTCTGAAGGAGGTCAAGAATATCCCAAAACCAGATCGAGAGGTCAGGGATCGCCAACTGCCCTATACTGATCTACGTGGCAGGCCTGCAGAGAATTACCAGGACCGGGAGGAAATAGAGGGTTTCTTTAAGGGTGATCACACCCTCATCCTCATAATCTGCCTCTCTGCGATTGCCACAATGCTCGTCCTCATCCTTTTCATTATCCTTGCATGGATGCGACGACGGAGTCTGCTGGCGGCGGCGCGAAGGAACAATCATCACGGCACGGTGCCAGGAATGGTGTCAGCGCAGGAACAGCTCAAGACGCTGTTCGTAGAAGGTTTGCCAAGGGGGGCACATCTGATCCCATCGACTGGCTGGGGTAACGGAAAGCTCGATGATACATCGACGACTGCTACACTGATGAAGCAGGCATCCCCCGTGTATTGGTTACAGACGACGATGTGCTCCAAGGGAGCTCTAGATGGGAAGAATGTAAGGGATCTCAGTCCTTGTTTTTGAAGCCTTATTTTATGCAATGACTGTATGTTGCTTACTGGTTGTAGCAAAGAATGGAAGAGCTGGTGGTACTCTAGAAGATTTTATAATACTAATGATTTAAAAGGCAATGATGCGAGATTTTTACGCTGCCTCACACGCAGATCCATCTGCAAGCGGTGAAAGGTAACGGCTCCGAATTTTCAGACAACACCATTTCACCGACGATGTTCCACGACCCACAGCAGGTAAACAACTGTCTGTACGCTACTTCGCCAGGTCGTAAAGTGGTCTACCACAACTCAACAAACGGTACAACATCCGGGATTGCCTGTGACGACCGAGACGATGCCTACCTCTCCATCCCCTCTACTAGCTTCCCCGGCGGTGTCACTAAGTACATTGTCGACTTTCCCATAGGCTCTGGTACGAAACCACCTATCTTTTTACAGTCATTTCTCCCCCACCCGTACAAGCTAGAATATGATTCTGACAGTAAAGTTGTAAAATGAAGTTCATTTTCCCCCATGCAAGAGTTTAAACTGAAGAACTAAGGAAGTTAGATTCTGGAAGTTACAATGAGCCTGATCTTAAGTTCGGTTTTAACGTAAATACAGTGGTTTAGTCAATATTGGGTTCCAAGAACGGAATGCCGAATTATTTATGAAGGCGGCTCGTCTAAAATTTAATGCACTATAGAAATGTAAATTGAAAGAGCATTTATTTGTACTTAATAGAGTTCACATTTTGCTGAACAAATTGCTTCACTCACTGCTATAACATTCCATATCACATTTATTTTCAATCCATCTAAATTAATTTCTTTTTTAGTCGTTAGAATGAAATTATCTAAAGTATGGGAATGAAGAAGTTTGTATCTAGGGGCATCGAACATACTGCCTTTCGGATAGGAATTAAATTGTCTTCCTGCCTTCTAGTATACCAGTCGTTAATCCTACCAGCACACGCGTCTGAGCCAGAAGCGTCACCACTACCTAATCTCATTAATCCGGGCGTTTATCGCAATGTTTGCAACAGTCTCCCCGGGTCCACGACAAAAGGCTCAGGTGAGGGTAAAGGAGAGTTTCTGCGGAAAGGCTCTGAGCACTCCATTGAGTTGCACCAGCAACAAGGGACGAGACTCAGGCGGTGCAAAACCATCGACCGCGAGGCCGCTTTAGACGGTGCAAGTGACGGCAAGGAAATCTTCCTACGTCTGTCCAAAAAGTCAGTCGAGTTTGCCCAGGGCGGGGCTGAAGAGTGTTTGCTAGCGCTGCCCTCCGATGAAGAACTTGATAAAGAGGCAGAGGACGAGAAAGTGGAACAGCCGCGGCTCCAGCAAACTGGGACTTTCTGCCATCTCCCTTCATCTTTTGTATAATCTGTGTTTGCGTGCTCAGTTGAAACTTAAAGACAAGCATGAAACAAGACGGTGTGCTTCAATTTTTATGCCTCAGATGTGGGCTCTACGAGTGCCGTTCGATACATGCTGTTGCCATTTGTAACAAGCATTTTTGAGAAATGCATTAGCCGGCTTCCTAGCTTACGATAGACTCAATTAAGCAAAATTAAACAAACCGACTGATTAAACTTTATGATTGTGTCATACCAGTCACATAGAAAAGGCAACTACATAACATTTTGACGTGCATTCTTTTTATTTCAAATGTTTTTTTGACAATCATTGAGAGCAACAGTTGAGGATAAAATACTTGTTTACCAGATATATTAATACATTTAACAGATTGTGTAGTGTTAAAATTTGAAATCAAACCTCAATCAAATCATAAGGTGAACATTAGCAAAAGACTAAATTCCAAATAAAGAGCAGGTACATGTATTTGGATAAAATGAGTGACTTAAACGTTCGGATTGCTTATGGTTTCGCTTTCAATACCTTGATAACTGTCTAAAACCATTAAGGCACGACCAGTTGACACGTTTATGATCCAAGTTTGGCTGGATTGGGTACGTAATGCAAGTTCTTCCGCTAACACACACATATGTGGAATTTATGCAAATTAATGCTTTGAAAATTTTACCAATTTTTACAGTGTGAAATTGTAAGATTTGTAATTTGCGTTGTCACATAAAGATGGCGTAAAGTAGTTGTTTTGGTATCTTAACAGCATAGTGGTGAGTAAATACCAAAAATATACCAATATTTTGACACTATTGTTTTAACAATGACACCGAAAATGTAGTAAACCCAAAACATTTAATCAATCATTTTGAATAAATTGATAAGCCAAGTGCCAAATGCGTATCATTCAACCCCCACAAACCCATTTTTACTCAAATTACTACTCTTCTTTGAAAAATACTTATGTTTGCAGGAATAGTTGTGAGAACGACTAATGGAATTCATTTCTTTTGAATGTATTAAAGGAAGGTAAATGGAAGACAAATTATCATAAAACACAAAATTCACTTTGGATAACTCAACCTTTCATCACGTAGGAGGTTTGCAGATTATGCTGCTTGATAGTACGGCGCACAGCACAAGAGCATTCGCAGACTTAAAATGAGCCTTGTAAAAAGGAACTTTTGGATTATAAATTTCATAAAATTAAGTTTTGAATAGATTATGAAGGAACATGTTTAGGATAGCCGATTTTAACTGCAGTTTGATGAAGTCGAATCTTTTCTACCTGCCGTGAAATGAATCTACTAAGAACCCCGAGACCATTAATTTTTGGGAAAGCTTTATCGCATATTCATGAGCACAAAGACTTCGATACAACAAATTTGTTTTAAAATGCATTAATCAAAGAGAATTTAGCTTTGTCTTTGATTGCAGTGTGAAAGACATGCTTTCCAAGGGCTTATATGCAAAAATGGAGCACCTCTCCATGATTATAATCACAAGTCCACGAGTCTTGGCCATCTAAACTGTTTTCAAAAGCAATTCATGGATGGGAGGCAATTTATGGTTTCTCATGCTAGTCTTACACCGTTCTTCTCTCAACTCTGCCTGTTTCTCACGAGAGTTGTTGCTTTAGCGTTTGAATTAAAGCGTTCGTGTGCGTGAGAATGGATTGACTCGGGTAAATGAAAATAGATGCTTCCAAGATGAGTAGATTTCAGCTTCTGAAAAGTCAGGTTCCTTTTGGAGAGGATGCGGGGACGCTCCAGTAACACAAAGTGGAAGAAGTAAACTTCCCAAACAATTCGAGTGAATCCTCAGGTACAACGGAATCAGTATAATTCAAGTGACTTTTCTTGGCCACTAGATGTCACATAAAATAAATCTTTCTTTCATTTTTTGCTCAAATTGATATTTTTCTTTGTGTTGCACGAATGAGTAGTGTTTACAGTAAGTATGGAATAATTACTTCTTCTTTTAAATCTGAACTAGATTGGTCTAATTACATGTTTCGTTTGAAAGCTTTGTTAATATGGCAGATGATTTTTGATAATATACTAAAGTAATCTTAAGCGGTGCAGCATTTTTTTGTATGAACAAGACATTGTTATCTTTTAGCAGTTTTTCAAGACAACATATACTTAGTCTGCTGCTATCATTTTATGGATATGAAGCGATTATTAATGTTTATAAGATTTCCAATTCGCAATGCTAAGGTACGAAAAAGACACATGTGGAATCTGTATTGAATAAGATAGATGATAATGCATTCAATTGAAAAAGTATTCAAATGACTAAAAGTTAAAATCACGACAAACACTTAAAGTGGAAATTTACACTGTTAATGCAGCAATGGTAGGGGTCGTAATTATGATTTCCTTTACACTGGGAGTCAGAACCCCTTTTGTAGTGCAATGGAGCATGAAACAGCGTAGAGAATAGTACATATTTCTTAATGAATTAATGGACATCCATTTACTTCTAAAGTAAAGAAGAAAAACCAACCTTCAGAACTATCATTAAGTGCACTGAGCAAAACTGGGTTCGGATGGTCATTTTTATTGGGCAAATTTACCGTCATACGTCTCGGCATTTTTGCAAAATATGTTAATTAATGAGTGAGAACTCTGTGATCAGTCCAAATTGACAAAACTGCCTACCCTGAGTGAAAATTTGTGAATAATGTCAAGCGCTGCATTGTCAACTGAAACTAGTAAAATTAAAAAATTTTTTGCAGACAAAATTTTTTTTATACTAGAATCAACAAACCAAAGCGGGTTTTAAAGAGCACCTGAGAAATAGCGGAATAATGCTACGATCATTCATTGTAGTCATCAGGCTGTGATAATCGGGAATTAATGTTCTCCGGGAAGATCCTGTCGTTTTTAGTAACTGAAACCTATAACATTCTAGGCATTGCATGTGGTAATTGTATCCATTTGCATGCTGATTCGAACATTACACAACAGGCAGAGTTTGGTTCTTGCAAATGTATTAGAGCCGAAGTGCATGTAAAGGTGCCTTGTAAACTGTTATTTTTTTATAAATTTGGGTGCAACCACGTTCATGCTAATGCCTCTAAATGGTCAATGAAATAAAGCTGTTCTCCCTTTTTGTTTTAGGTTTTGGTTACACGGAAGGAACATGATAAAATCTTAACCGGCTGATGCCATAT